AAGATGAAAATAATGTACAGAAAATATTGAAGCTTTCACGTTGATGAAATCTCAGGTTCTTTAATGAGCAATTGCACAGCTTATGTCTATTTCTTCCAATGCAGATTAACTTTAATTTCTGTTTTAATTGCTTTTTATCGGTTTTTAATTTTTTTAAAACTAGAAAAGGATATAAAATAAGTTAAACCGAGATTAAAGTTAATCTGCATTGGTAGAAACACACTTTAGTGAGGCAGGACGCGCGGAATTAATGAGAATTTGCGGTTTCATAGTGGAAATCGTTTGGGTCAGATTGGCAGCAACCCCTGCTGTTGGAATGCCAGAAAGGCTTTTCGAGAGCTTGTTCTCTCGGCGAAAAAAAGAGGAGTAACAATTAGTTTAGATTAAGAGATGCTCCGTCATGGGAGACAAGAAGAGGGGGTGGGGTAGGGAGTTCGCCTTTTTCGCCGATATTTCTCGTTGCGTTCTGAAGTCCCGAGCGATATTACTGGTTTGATTTATAAATAAATTCTCTTTCCTTTCACCAAGTTTTCCTGAAGAACATAGCGGACTGCGATGTGTTTAGCATAAGTTTTTTGTCATGTAACGTGGAGTTTGTTTTATAACTTTAAGACATCGTCGCTGAAATCAAACTGAAGTGGAGATACAGTTTGTCATTATGGTTTATCCTTCAAAGTTATATTCCCCGAACGAAACATTCGAGCAAGCCACTTTCGTATCCCTCGATCTGTTACACACCATATGAAAACATCATGTAGGTAAATACTACAAATTTTGTGAAATATTTTTAACAGTAACTGTCTCCCAATCAATAATTATTCCCTTTAAATTTTCAAAATGTGTGACGCACGTACGAGTGTACTTTCAAATCTTCCATTTTCAAGGTTTACTTCCATAATTTCATAAGGTAATGTGCCCAGTTATAGTAGAGACCAGATAAATAAAAAAATTGTTAAGTATAATTGGTAACGTGGGAGTCTCAAAGGAGATGAATTGCGGTTACCTGTAGAATTATTTATGAATTAATTCAATAAATAAAGAACGGAGCTTTTATTATTCCAATATGTACTTCCCGCCGATTCGATATTAGGTACGGGATGAATGAATTATCTGGTATTGGAAAATTATGCATTATTTACTACATTGCATTATGACGTTACGTAAAATGGCTTCTCTCTCTCATTCAGAGTATGAAAAGTGCTACTAAATATTCTCTTCTCGGAAATGGTCCTAAAGAATTTGTATAAAGCATCCTGGTAAATATGCAAATGTTATCGAAAGAATACCTCAGGAAACATTGATACAAAACTGATGTTTTGTGTATACTATTTAATACAAATGTGTACAAATGTAATGTTGTTAAAAACTACGTTCGATGAATCTGTCTGACTGATTCAACATGTACCACATATCTTGTTACAATTTCTTAATCAAATAACACTTGTGTTCTTCGAATAGATTTAATTAAATTAAAAGAATTAAATTGAATATCGTTACTCGAAAGATCAAGTCCTATACCGGACTTCTACGGTTTAACGCTTAGTTAATGTCCTCTCGACCCTCGATGTCGTTGCTCTTTACACTTAATGCGATAGAATTAGAAACGCAGAGTACTGTAAGTCATTACGAAGAAAGCGATACCGCACCACTCAGGATCTCCAACTTCTTGTTCTCGAAGAAGAGGAAAAGGGAGACGGGGCGTCATTTGCGAAAAGAATAGTGCGTAGGCGTCAGATAATTGCGAGAGAATTAAATCTTGTCGGAACGAATTGTTCATCCTTCAAGAGCGAAGATAATGTACTCTCGACGGAATACGGTACCCGCTATTCAGAAATAATAAATTGTTTCAGATGGTCGGACGCGAAATTCCACGCGTTATCTCCATCCTTGTCTCTCTTTTCTATTCACAAGGTTGCCGTGAAACATTCAATCGTAACAAAGGAATATATGTATAATATCGATGTCGTCACTGCCGCTAAAATTTACTGCGAGATCGCGTGTTTATCACACGCTGATGAAGTGTCACTCCAATGTGTCGCTTGAAGTAGCACGTTATACGTGGAGTTTCATTTAAGCTAGTCTATTGCGAAAGTGACAAGGACTGTAAACCTTTGTTTTTAGTATATCAATCATTTCCGAGATTAATTTTTCGTGTTTTTGTATGTTATTATTTCATAGTTGAATCTTTAATTCTTATATTACTACTCCGAGTAATGCGAACTAAATAAATACAATAAGAAACGCTTTGTTAACAAAATTCAATATTTCAGATCTGAGAGAAGCAAACACAACTTTTCTGGAGACGGTATTTTCTGTTTTGACTAAAATTTGCAAATACTTGTAGTATCTTTGCTTCTCAAATACACCTAGCATTGAAACTAAAAGTTGTGCAATAGAGGGTTCAAATATGTGATCTTGAAGAAACGTGGCTCTTTGTATTTGCAAAGCTGCATGAAATTATAAAGACTGCGAACAAACTGTAAGATCATTTTTCCTTTGCTAAGCACTTTTTTTGCTTTTTCCAAGTAGTAGCAATTGATTATATATATTATAGTCAGACCCAAATAAACGTGTTAATGTTTTTGTTACAATGTTACAATAATTGACCAAATATATCATAAACTAAAATATTGAAGTTATTTATATTATTACGTAACAATAACGATCATAAATATTTTTTTGGTTTTATTTATTTAGTTACTTAAACGTAAATCCCCAAAAATTGTAAAGAATTTTTTTAATATTTATGAAGATTCTTAAACATTAAACTGTTGTTTTTCGCTTCTAACATCTTGCGTCGGCTTTTACAGCCTTCCTTTTCTATTAATTTTAATATTTATAATAATATTGTCGGGCAAAAATAGCACTTAAATAATTTATGTTATAAAGATCCGATAGAATTTAATGAAGAAGAGTACAAATGACACATTGTTTAATTAATAGAACATTTATAACAGCCAAAACAAAAAAGTGGCGATCGTGGCGCAGAGGATTGTGCACTGGTCTGGTAATCCAAAGACCCAGGTTCAAAACCAAACAAAACATTGTTGGTTTTCGTTCGATCGTCACATAGCGAAGTGGAAGTAGAGAGAGGTGTTATAAGAGGTTTGAGCACGTTCCTTCAAAAACGCCTTGTAACCTTAAGGGGAATCAATAAAATGTATTTTATACATTTATGACAGTCAAAATGCGCGAATAGTATCATAAAATCGTTAATTCTCAGCTGCTTTCTGAGTCCACATGAAATCAATATCGAGTACCGTGTACCGAGACTACTTGGTGGGGTAGTAGATGGGGCTTCGATCTTATGAAAGTTCGGCATGCAAACAGTGACCTCATCCCCAAGTGTATCAGCAGCTTTTGGAAACGTGAGGGAAGATTGATTATAACAGCTCGCGGATGTCTAAGATATATTGGACGTTTGATTTTACCTTATGATACACACACGCATGCATCCAAACTCGATCTAACTAATTTTCAAGAGATGAAACTTATAAATATTATAGATATTATAGATTTAACAAAGTTAAACTGTCTATATCGAGTTTTCTTTTTAACCAATAAAAAAACTGACCATATTGAATTACTGTGAAGTTGGCACCTGCAATAGTTCTATAGTTACTGCTTTTAAATTTTAAAAATAATTCCGTTGATTTCAATAGAAAAAATGATATTGAATAATACGGTTTAAAACGTTTAAAAATAATAACAATCAGAATTATTGATCAAATATATCAAAATGATCGAAACTATAATATAATGTAAAAACTATCGAGAACTGTCAAGAAATTGATCGGAACTGTCAGAACAGCATAGTTTTTACAAATAGAGTACCAGCGGTCAGATTAAAAGTTGTTAAAAAATAATTAATAAGTATTGTTAAATTTCATCAGAAACTACAGAACTCTTCTAAAACTCTAAAATTCCGTAATTGTAATGACTTTTTTCGCAATATGAGGTTCCACGGAAAGTTAGCATTCTATTGTATATTTTCAAATGTTATTTTTGCTATTCAATCAACGGAAATATTTCTAAAACGTATCAGGTATTGTAAAACTATTGCAATCGGAACTGTTAATAAAATATTTGGGTTTTAAAAATGGGGTGTCAACACTTCACACCTTCCCGTACCGAACGCAAATTAAAATATCGTTTAAATCTCACGTTGAAGTAAGCTACCAAACAGACAGTGAACAAATAGAATAAATTAGAATTTTTTTTATCTTGGTCCAAAAATTATTCTACAAATATTTTGTATCCAATCTAACATTATTTTTAAGTTGGCGTGCAATTTTGTTGTTCATTTTAGTTAAAAAGCACTGAAAAGGATTATTGTAAATATTAATTATTAATGAATTATTAAAAATTTATCATAGATTTGTGGGAAGTATCGGCAAAAAGTCCTAACCGAATGTGTACGTTGGGAAATAAAATTTGTTATATTCCTACTGTGTATAAACATGTTACTATTTCTTTGCAACATTTGTTAACGTTAGACTGCCGAAAAAGACACTTTTGTGGCTTTTAAATCTGCGCAACGTGTATGTTATTTATATACATAAATTTTAGGGAAAAAGGAATACTATAATTTGAATGAAAAAATGCCGGTAGTCTAAAGGATAATAACATAATACATCATAACAGCTGTCGAACTGTATAACAAGTGTCGGATCGTACGTCTCAAGCGGAAGCCTGATGCGTCCTTGCAAGCGACATTTCATCAAAGATACCAGTTCAAACATTCACCCCATCTTCAGCAAGTACTACAGCGGGTGCTTTAGGAGACAGAGAAAGAGAGAGGGTGAGAGAGGGTGAGAGAGGAAGAGGAGTGGGGATAGAAAGAGAGAGACAGGTAGCTGACGCGGTTGCACTCTGGCATGCTCTAGAACGTATTAAACGGTGGTAGTGCGGAGGTAGGAAGAAGGTCGGAAGGTTACGAGAGCGCAGACGCCGACCGAAACCACCACCGAGGATACCACCCGGCACGGTACCGAAGTACCGGACAGAGCTACCTGGTCCGCGTCGCCGCATTCATCAGAGTGTCTTTCAGCGTACCATTAGAGAGTTTCGATTTCGATCTTGGCCACTTGTCAGAGAAATCGTCGCAACGTCACACTCTTCGTGTGTCTCTTTCGTTTGACGCGTTTGCACGTAAGTAACAACTTGGAGAATCGCATTTGCATTTTTTCCCAACACATCTGTGTATATACGAACTACGGATGAGCAACGTATGTATACATAGGTATGTGTATTGGGAAAAAATACAAATTCAAATAATATAAATTGAATATTCGGTAATATTAAAAATAAAATTTGGGAAAAGTGGAATAGTTGCATTAATTTTCATCGGTGATTGATATCATTATTTTATTATATTGAAACAGCAGGTAATTAATAATTTTAGTGCAGCCGATTTATTTTCAACATATTGCCCGCCGCAGTATTACCTCTCATCTACGCACGAATATTTTGAATCATATTACCTTCGGTGTTAAATACCGTTTGCTACTTCACGCAACTGTCGAGCTACACGCAAATATTCATACGCAGTTCATAAGAATAATAACCCTCGCAACTTTTATGAGATTTTTGTTACCGAAGGTAACTAAATGCACTTATGTATCAAAATTTTTGAGAGTTTGCATTAAAATTACATAATCAATCATAACTTATACATCTTTAAGACGTCTTTTAGACATACGTGTTGTTTGAAATGTAATGAAATGGTTTACTTTCTTTAAATTTCTTATAAAGTTTTTATGTAGAGATGTGCTTCATCAGAGACTCATTTATACAATTTAATAAAATCGAAATAATAATTTTTACTTAATAAAAATATTGTATTAAACTGTGCGCGTTCAATTATCAGCAGACTTAATAAATCAAGGTGTTTAATAAAATAGGGAGTGGAAATTACTTTACGGATTGTATAAGGGGGCAAATAATCAGTTAGTTTGCTTTATAATTAGCACAAACGATCGCAAGATGATGACAGTTTCTTACATAAGTTAATAGAGTTTCTGTTAATAGAGCTTTACATTCCAAAAATAAAACGCCACATCGGGATAAAATAATTGCGAAACGTTACTTCTAGTAGAAAATAGCATTTGCGTTTATTTTTCGCAGATCGAGTGAAACGCAATCGAGAGGTATTTTTCTTTGTAATTTTATTTTTCTGTACACGCGCGCCATTTCTTTCGCCTCTTAGTTACGCCTCTCGAGATGTCCGCTCTTGCTGTTCCCCCACGACGAAAATCGATCGCTGGGGTCGGACAAAAATTTCTGATTTACCTGCACGTACCTATATTCGCGCGGCTGTATTCTCAAAAGGTATTCTCAACGTGACTTTTCCCTCGCGGATTCTATCCGCACAATCGTTCAGAGTTAGTTGTCGGCAACGACGCGGTAGATTGCTTCGTTTACTCAAGTCCTTTTAAACCGCAACTTTAGCACGCTCAACGCAAATTGCGAACTTCGCGCTGCACGTGCGCACCTTTAAGACCCGTCGACAGCGGGGCGAGTCGCAAAAGCCGTGTTAAAGACTGCCCGTTAATAAAACGCGAGATCAATTTCACCAAGATCTAATCACTCCGGATTACGTCGCGGAAAGCAATCCCGACGCTATCCGAGGCGTCGAGATCGTGAGTCCCTTTAATAACTTAAAATTACATCGCATTTTGTCATCCTGCACTCAGCACTGTTTGGAAGCTTGGGTTGAAGTTGGTCTTATCCCTCTTACCTGGCTAATATAAACTAATATTGAGTTTCGTGTAAACTTTAAAGGGGAATCATATGTCTAGTGGCGAAAGATACGAGTAGGTGCTACTCCGACGAAAAGTTTTTATATAAGATAACGATCTCAGATGGTACGCTGTACCCGTTCGTCTCAAACTTGAATTGACTTTTTCAAGTAGTTCATCTGTTCTAGGGGGAATTGCAATGTCATAAAATTCAAAATTTACAGTATAGTATCGCTCGGCAGTAACTTGACAAATAATTAACTTTGACTTTGATTGATAAAGACATGTGTACATATCGCATTGCTTTACAATACTTGTTACACGAATCTATTTGAAATAGGCAATATTTCGATTACACACTGAGAGAAAAAATAGTCATTTTTGGAGCCAACCATATTTTTTATAATTCCTCCAACGTAAGTTATGGTTGACCTAACAATGTGATAGTTCTCATAACCACAATATTGGTTGTCATAAACCAAAAATATGATTGGGTCCAAAAATGACTATTTTTTTTCTCTCAGTGCAAAAACGTGCGCATTTGTGTATAAGTATCCCATAATTATCAAAAGTTTTATCTTAATACTTATTACAAATTTTTAATCTCAAATGTAAAGATTTGACGCAAGTGTATTAATATCGTAATGGCCTTCATCATCTTTATCATTGCTTTCGCCGCGGCAACTTAACTGTCCTGTCTTATGTTCATTACGCATTTATTAATATCCATTAGCCACTCTATAATGTGCGCAAAGTTTATTGTCCTTTTAACACATTTTCTCGTGACGCAATTTGCAACTCCGCGATGAGGTTACTTTGGCAATATCTTAATGTCAACTATCCATATTATCTCGCGATTTCCCAAAGTTATTTTATGTAACACATTGCATAGTCCACATAACTTTTAACACTTAAACTATTAAGTAACGTTCATTTTACTTTTCAAATGTGAATTGCTAATCGTTTATAAGGAAGTGACAGTTAGAGCCAGTAATTAGCAACGCACGCATATTCGCACGAAAAGAGAAGTCGGCGCTGTTTGAGCTCTTGGTTTCCTGCCAAGCAGTTACGATAAATTACGGCACCCTCACTTCGTAAAACAATACGAATCTAAATTGGAAAAGAGCACGAGGACATTTGCATTCACGAGGAACGGTCGGACACTTTCAAATTGTAAAATTGCTGGATAATTAAATTACTAGACTTTTGCTTCTTCTATAAATTAACTTATACTGCTGGCGCTTTGTTGCAATTTGCATTTTTAACTTGAATAAACATTTCCGGGCATCAATCTGTTTTTTGCTTTGTTCATATTTTATAATATGTATAGTATTATCGAATTAATAAATATCAGGACATTTTATTTTCAGTTCTTTATAAAAGACAAAAACAGGACAGAAATACCGAGAAAGCAAAGATAAGTTTACACTTCAACATATTGACAAGCTTCCTGTATTATTTTAGAGAGAAGCAAAAATCGAGAATACAAATTCTCAAGAGATTAGTTATTAATTACAGTATCAATTATGTATTGCGTAAAGATATATCTTGTAATTGTTAATTAGATTCATTTTGTCAACGAATTGTGGATGGGCGCGCTTTAGACATCTGTTGCGCGACGCGCGACACAGTGTCGCCCTATAACGATTGCAGTAAATTGCGACGTGGCTCAATCACGCCAGGATAGACTGAGTCGATAGACGGCTCATTGTTAGGAAAAATTGCAATTTGATAACACTCTTGAACCGTGTTAGCGCAACACTTCGTTAACATCTTCTGCGCTAAAAAAATGCTAATTATTTATGTATTAATTGTAAGAATGTTAGACAAAATGTGTTATTTGATCATATCTTTTCCATCGAATTCTCTGTAAAAAAAGTGAATGTGAATATCGCGCTCAGCTTTAATACGTAACGATAATCGTTTATCAATTTATGATCTTTCAATGGTTTCGTAAACCATCTCTGACATTTTTTCCTTTGATCTTTCAAATATTTTTATATATTCTGGAATTTAATTTGATAACTTTGTTGGGATATTATATTAAAACATTTTGACTTAGGCATCATTTATTAAATAGATTTAAAACAAATCGTGTTTAATTATTATTAAATAACGTCCACTATATATGATGTAGCCTCGAAGAATTTTACTGCTCAAACAGGAATATTCATATTGGTACATGAAAGAGATAAATATTTTTCTAATATTCCAAAAATGTATCAAATATTATAGATTTTATATCTGTGACGAAACAATATATTACATCAAGACATTTTCGTATATTTCGGAGCACATGCCTCGGCAGGTTGAAATATTGACGATTTATGGATATGATACGCGGACAAGATAGATTCTGGAATATCTTTCTGTAAACTTTCATCTTTCACGGGCTGCAAAATAACTTTCACATGAGGCAGAACCGCTTCCTCAGCGGACTATAATTTTTATTTTACGTAGCTCCTGATAAAATTTAAATTCCTTGTTACATTTATTCGAGTCGAGCTCGAAACCTGATGTTGCGTATTAAAGAAGATAGCTGTATTATAATCGTCATTCTCTTAGTTCTTAAAAATTTTATAGTATCATCATACAGAGTATGTCTTGAAAAATCATAACTTTAGCAAGTTGCGGTACTTCTAACAAGAATATTTTATTAAAAGTAACTTAACTATTATTTTCATAAAGAATTAAAATAATATACAAATTTTAGATCATTCTCTCTCTCTCTCTCTCTCACACATATTTACAAAATTTTCTCAGTTTCTACGATTATAGTCCGTGTGTGTGTGCGCGTGTGAGTGCAATTGACATACATTTTTAGAGCAGATCTTTTTTTAAAGTTATTCTAATTACAAATTAATAAATGGGGAAATGCGATTAAATTAACACGCGCCGCCGAAGCGACTTCGACTTGTTTCATATTGCGAGAACTCCAGTCCACTAATTAATTTCCTAAAGACTCGATTCCGTAGATGCTGATTAAAGTACATTTCGAGCTTAGCTTTCGTAGACCTATCCCACGTTGGACATACCGCAATTAGTCGAGAATATAAATCCAAATTAATCTCAACATCAAATTGACGGCGCATGCAAGCGTAGAAGGTGGTTTATCAGCGTTATATAGACGAATAGGCTTATATCAGCGTGGAAAAGCGCGCTATGATATGTCGCATTTATCTCTATGCGCATGGAGCATGTTGCAATATAATCTTTATTATTCTTTCACTCTGTTTGTATGTGGAAGATTAAGAAACTTAATCTTTGCCCTTTCCCTGACTTGTAAGCTGGGTTCGAATTTCATTCTTTGTGACCTTTTATAAATGTTATATTCTCTACCCTGAAAAAAAATTCACACGTTTTAAAAGTACGGCGTTTCTTTGTAAGCGAGAACGTAGCGATGATTTGTCA